ATATTTTCTCTCTTTCCAACAGAAATGGTCAGGAAGACCTATACTTGACGTAGTGTAGAATTTGTTAGAAAAATGCTCCTCGAAAAAATTCTCTCACGCAACGATTCCGTGATGCGTAAATTCAGCATGATGCGGTGTGTCCCAACGCTTGCGAGAGAGCGTTACTCGCTCGCGCGTAACTCTCGGTCGTTTCTTGAGTAAACTTCAAACAACGACGCGGGCGTAGATATGGAAATAACATCAGACCCTCTGACTGAATAAAAGATTTTTCGAATGATCGATATTTCGGCACGGCGCGCTAAAATGCGCAGAGTACACATCGGGTAATCGAGTTTTAGGGAAAAACTCTTCAGAAATTCCTCGATAAAATTATCCTGCCAATATCTGCAGAGGTATTACTAGATCCAGATGCCGCGCATAATTTTTGCAGAGTATTTGAATCTGAATACTTTTCATTTCCATAAACATTCGACAAATGTTTGATTTCTATAATACGCTGCGTTTAATTTTATTAGTAGTTTGATAGACGTGCCTTTAGCCTGCCCTAGATTATAGCCAATGAAAATAAATTAATGGCATAGTAAAAATTATAAAAGCAAAAAAGATTGATAAGATCTAAAAATTTTAGATCAGATCTAAATATTTGATGAAAAATGTAGGCGAATTCAACATTTCATTTTTTATTTTAAATTAAAAAAAAAAAGGTATGTTGAAATTAAGGAGATTATTTTTTTGTTTTAGTTTTTAAAGTACTTACAAAAAAGTAGTTTCTCAATACATTCATTCTTAAATATTCTTTTTTCTTTATTCTTTCTTGCGAAATATGCAGAAAAGAAACTTTTACGTGCTCTAAGTTGAATAAAAAAAAGAACGTATTGAGCGCGATTGGTATGAAATAAAAAATAATATAGGGAGAAAGAGAAAGAAAGAGAGCAGCTAAAATTCTGAATGGGTCAGCGACTGTTCCGTCGCGCGTATTTTAGGATCGTTGTTACGTGAAATGAACAGCTGCGCTGGCTATCCGCGCCTAAACGAAAATGGTGACTCGATTTAGGCACCAGTGCGTTTGCCGGCTGACTTTTTCATCCTTCATGCTTCCTTCTCCCGATTCTTTCCCTTCGCACCTAGAACAATTCGATAAATTTCACAAGCGATCGAAAAAGTGAATTGCAGAACGGTAAAAATTATGAGTCTCGTTAACAAAAATGCATTTTGTGCCAAATTGCTTCTTCGGATGATCTATGTGTTTTAAAGCAGTGTCGATATTTTGACAGTCACGGTTTTTAATGAATTTGAAATAAGATTTTAGAAAAAGGCTTTTTAGTAAAAAGGCTTGTTGCAACTTTTCCACAATTTGCTTTAAAACGTCTTAATAATTAACAGAGTACTTTATTATCTTAATCTTTTTTTTAATGATAGATTTTCTTATTTTTAATTATAAATTTATGATAACTATATATATTTAATTATAAATTTAATTAGCTTAATGATATAAAATTTTGAGGGAGATATATACAATTTTAACTTGTTATAATTTTTTGCAATATTTGATATTAAGTGCTTTTTAAATCTAATGTAAGTTTTTAAAACGTGGTCTTATGTTTAATTCACATTGATTCACATTATTCACGCTGTAATCTTCTTCCTTTTTGCATCTCACGTACTTTGTTTTCATGAAAATGCAACGAGCATAGTTACGCAAACTCGCGTTTACTAAAGTTACTAAATTCAATTAAATTAAATAAGCTTTATTAAATTCAAATTACATCTACATGATCACATGAAAAGAAAAGATAGTAAATTCATATGTTATATGAATTTATAAGAAATTCATTATACATACATTTTCAATGTACATGTTTTTCTTCATTTACAAGGGTTTTTTCAATACCGTCATTCAAATGGTTCCCTTCATTTTGTGCAGGTATTTCTTTCTATGTTCTATTCAACTTCAATTATGAATGGTTATCGTAATTAACTCACTATCGATAATCTTCCATATCAAAACTTTAATTAATCAATTAATTAATTGCATTTTAGCTGAACAAATATAATCTTATATTGAAAGGGAAATCCGTATAGAGGGAAATGCGTTAATTGCATTCTGTCTGTGGTAATAGAAGCGACGTGTATGCGTAAATGTTTAGAAAATTGCAACCTCTATAAATTATAATTATATATGTATATTTCAGTAATAAGTATACAAACAACGTAATTTAAATTTTTTTTAAAAAGTTAAAATTGGTACATTTTTTGTAGAAACACAATATTGTACGATTTTATTGAAATATATGATAAATATAAAGTTACAATATATGTTCAGATACACATATGCATATGTATGTTTAACATTTATGTTAAACGTTAATAAATAACATTATAGCATATGCAACGAAATGAACTATAAACATAAAACCAAGTTAATCCGCGTCGCTTTAAGGATTGATATGTTTTTATGATCTACGATAATAATGGCATGTATGTATATATGTATACGTATATATGTCTTTATTATTATATATGTGTCATGTTAACTCTCAAAGTGACGTGTATTAACTCGGTTTTATGTTTGTGGCTCATCTCGTTGCATACGCTATAATGTTATTCATTAAACGTAACAGCGTTTAACATTTTTAATGGCCGCAACGACGACCTATTACATGAATATGGAAACCAGAAGTGAGCCGGTTCGCTGATGAAAATTGGCTCCGGTTTATACCGGCCGTAAATTAAATAAATATCGAGTAAATAAACATGAATTACATCATCACTCAGCGAATAGGATGCCGTAACTGTGCTAGTTTTCCATCAAAATCAACCGAAATTACAGCTCGTGCATCATCAAGTATGCCGAAATTACGATCTGTGAAAAATTATTCGTTGTATTACATGTATGTCGCGTAATATAAAAAATTTGTACAAACACATGAACGCGATGCATTAAAACAATGCTTTTGTAATATGAAAAAATGTGAAATTATAAACATCCCAGGAACAATAATAACGATCATTCATTGTATATTTTTTAGACGTAAAGTGAGAAGCTCTTAAGGTAACCTTATACGATCGATAATATTGAATCAATAATACTGACAGTATGCAATATATTTAGTATTTTTAATTACACGATTAGTATTATTGACAATATATTTCACTTTAGTTTTATGTATAATATCTATTGCATTGTAATTTACTGGATTTTAATAAAGCGATACTGATGCTCAAGAATCAAAATCCAGATCACCATCAATATATTCTACAATCGTCAATATTAACCGCACACATTCAATAATATTGTTAATATTTGTTAATGCTGACAGTTATTATTGACCGTGTAGGGTCACCTTTACTGGTAAGGAATCAAATAACAAGCACAATAATAAATGGCGATTTGTTATAACGCAATGTGTGTATGCTGTTTTGATTATATACAAATTAATACTAAAACCAGTTGCACAGCGGCAATACGTTCTTGCTCAGAGTATATTTCGCGAAATTCATCACTCACGGTGATTAATTAATTATTCGAAGAAGGTAATTACCGCATGACCCGGACACACGCTTTTTCCATCGTGTCCACCAGGTACCATCAGTTATACGTGAAACCAAAGTCAACGCAGTGTTTCCACTTTGCTTGGTCCATCGGGGAAACAATGACACGATTGACCGCGTTTACGTAATTTAATTTCTTCTTAAACCAGAATATCTATCTTGCATGACGACGTATCTTTGTCTGGTATAATTTGCTAATTGCTTTTTTAAACGAACAATTACATTAACAAAAATGAAGTAATATTTAAAAGTATATAAAACATTCAGTTTTTATTTAAATTTTTATTCCAAGTTTGTTTATCCTTCTGGCCAATCGATGAACAGATAGTATAAAAAGAAATAATAATATAGTAAGAAATATACATAGTTCATTTTTTTTATTTTCTGTCAATCAACGAATCATAGAATCATAGAATCATAAAAACTACTGACAAAAGTAGTAGTTTTGTTGACAAAACTTGATAAATAAAGTACCCAGATCATAGATTCACACAAAATTATACAAGCACTCTTAAAATCCACCATTAAAGGCATTTATTTCTATGGGTTGTATTCTCACATGTACGCGATCGGATGGGATCTATTATTTAATATTGACAAGTAAAGTTGGAATCTCATTTTGAAGCAATAAATCCATCTGATTGCGAATGTGAATTCTGCTTTCGAGCTCATTGAGCTAAGAGCTCATTAATGAGTAGTTTAATCTGAAAATTTTATGCTGCGGACGTTTGTTTTCTGTATCTGATGTTTATCTTTCACGGTCTCCCGCACATCGTGACTAGTGATTTCAGCGTGATTAAACCTGATAGTAATGACGGGGTCCGGCTGCATTTACGTTAAATTCCTCTTGCTTACTAAGTGACATGAACGAGGATAATTATACGTAATTTCCGTCTCGTTAAAATCGATATGATAGATTTACTCTCGCTTTTTATATAGATCCACCAAAGATGGATAATGAGCATATTTCCAAAAAAAGAGTTGCGTATTATCATTAGTTAATATCGTTAAATAATATTCAAGATATTTAACGTTAAAAGTTAAGTCATAATTATATATAAATATATGGTCTCTTCATCTCTAATCAATCAAAATTTGCAAAGGCAAGTCTATTGGTGAAATTTTGAACAATCCAAATTAATAACAAGAAATAGACAAAAATAGAAGATAATCATTTTTTAAATTAAAACAGACATTTGTTTCAAGAGATTTTGTCTTAATCAATGTACGATTTCTATAATTGTACGATTTTTATAATTAAATGAATGAAGATTGTTCCCTGAATTCTGTGTGATGCAGTTTTGACGAATAATGACTTGAATGACATAAACAATGATGTGTATTACAATAAATAATAACTGATATATATATATATATGTGTATGTATATTTAGTCGGCACGAGGGATTAGAGCTCTCGTGATTAACTGAGCATTTCGCATGAATTTAGACGCGCCGGAGACGAGATTAGTCGGCGTCCCAACTGGCCAGCTCGAGGAGGGCCGCGATCAGTTGGAAATCCGATGTCTCGCTGACGCTAATCCGCCAGCTTCGATTCTCTGGAGGAAAACCAAGAGTCCTGGGGTGACAGAAGTGGCTAGCATCGGAGAAACCCTCATGTTCTCCCCAATTTACAGAAATCACGCCGCTGTTTACCTCTGTGAGGCGTCAAACATCGAAGGCGAGAGCAGTCCGGTCTCAGTACAGGTTTCCGTAAACTGTACGTGTACCACTGTCACTTTCCGATTCTTAATCTGTCATGTTCACTTCAATGCATTCCAAAATTTTTGTGGCCTCTGGCCATTATATATTTTTGATATATAAGAATTTTCACTAAATAATAACTGTAATTTTCTTTATCTTCTATATTTCGAATCACTATATACGTGAATATTCACGTAATAATTATTGTATTTTCAAAGAGATATGGAATAAAAATTATTAGAAACTGTTATACGAAATAACTTGTATTCATAGTTTCAGAATAAATTGATTTTTTCTAGATCCACCAACAATCAGCGCAGTTGGACCGGATCGATTAACAACTGCGTTGTTATATTCTGGTGCATCCTTCGAATGTCATGCTGATGCGATGCCGCCAGCCGAGTACAGGTGATCCATATCAATTATTTTATTTTTACTTCTTTTAGAATTTTTTTTGCATTCACTCGTATTGATAACTGATTTTTCGAACTTTGAGATGTTTCATAAAAAAAGCTTAAAATGATCTGTCTGATTGTAAAATCACATCAAATTAAGAATAAATTTTATTACGTATCAAAATTGATAAGAGTTTTTTCTTTTAATTATTATAATGCTATGTTTAATTTTCCATTTAATTTTTTAATTCACTTTCTTAGATTATACTTCAGTTTACAAGAGTCTAACATCTGATATGTAGCTTAGAGCGAAAATTATTAATTATTAATTTCCTTCTTTTATTTTTATATCTTTTCATTAGCTTATACTTCCGCAGTGGCATTTGGAAGTGTCTTTAATTTGCAAATTTCCGATGTGCGGTGATGCGTGTGCAGATGGGCACAGATATTCACGGACGGCCGCATGCCATTGGAATGCGGAACGGGGCAGCGATTGATCCTGACGAACGTGACGTATGAGCAACAGGGTCAATACATATGTCTCGCCTCCAACAAGATCAATGGCAACGTCAGGGAAGTTAAAAGCGACCCTGTGTCCCTGCAAGTGGTCGGAGCTCCACGGGTAAGACGACGCATCGTCGCGGCGGAACGTTGAAAAAGTTTCGCTGCAAATCAGAATTACCAGGGGGATTCGACGTTGACGAATAGCGTTTCCGGCGGACGCGTCGTGAAAAAATATCGCTTCATTACTTTACGGGATCCAGGGATCATTGAATATCTTTCGTGAGCGCGGTAACGGAATATTCTCGTGAATACTTTGCCTAAAGTCCGTCGTTCAGCTTCGACTACCCGGATGTAATATCGGTGGAAAAAAAATGAGTAGAAAATGTAGTTTGTAACGAAGAAGAAATGTTGCTCCAGTGCATCAACCTCGTTCTGCTTCATTATTTCGTGGAAAACACGATATACTAAGGATGAGCTGAGATCGTGTATGCGTTGTATCCAAAGTGGATAAATTCGCGCAAAAAAAAAGGAGATTGCAGAATGATTTAATGTTTAATGAAACGAACACAACTTGACAAGCAAATTAAAACTTACAACCCTGTACGTTATTGTTAAGTAAATTATTTTCCATCTTAATGAAAAGTTAACTCTTATGCAGATCTTATAACACGTATTATTTATTTATCTATTTGTTGCAAAGCGAATAATATATTGCTCTAATAATTGTGATAAAACAATATAGAAATTATTTTTATGATATACTCGACTAGCATAATTCATTAGCTAAATATTGGTTAAATATTAACATCAATTGGAAATGTATTTAGCCAATATTACACCAATAAATTCTGTTATTAAGGTATAATATATATATATATATCGCGATATACTGAGTATATCCGTGCATTTAACTTCAAATGCATTTTTTAATGACAATATCTTTCATTCAGTTTTTCAATCACCAACAATACGCGTACATTGCATCATCGAGTTTTATTATACAGAATAAATAATACATAAAATCAATATCTTCGTTATTTGTAACGAACTGCGTTATTTCTTTCAAAAGAACGCCTCAATATCATATAGCTACAGACATGTTTTTGTTTTGTTCACATAAAAATAACCATAGCTGCAATTAATTGAAAAGGTCACTTCAATACTTTTGTACACAACAATCCAGAATAAATACGCGTACATGTTAGAACGAAACAAATTTCAATTGTATTTAATTTATCAAAGAAATTGTCTGATGTTATATATTCAATTTTTTACATATATTACATATTCGATATTTTATGCACACATGTTTTATATATATATATATATATATACATATTTAGTTACATATATATTCAGAAATGCATATTGCAAATAAAATTTGTAAACACAGCATAACTAGAACTGCATACAACAGAGATTAAATTATATTCCAATTACCGTGATATTACAGACCTTCGTAATTTGATTCTGATCAATGACCGAATCCAATAGCTAATTATCTGACTGTTAACGAAAAAAACTCAATTTTAATATATCGCGGGACTTTTTTTATTGAATTGCCTGATAGCAAAACGCACGCAACTTAATGCAGGTTACTGGCTGCACAAAGGTTTGATTTCCATTTCATTTAATATGAAACCATTTCATCTGTTAAAATTCGACAGCGCTATTAATATCTCGTTCAAATTGATTTTGACGTTGCGTACGCACACAGCTATTTTATATTACACGTTCGTCTCGGGAGTCGAATATCACGCGAAAGGAGCAATTGGAAAAATTTTATTATACGATTTATTTCATAGGCATGTTGCCTGGAAATCAGTTGAAATGTCGATACCATGTAATCAAATCAATATTTTAATTATGATTGCGATATGTACGAAAACGTGACAAGCGTTGCCGATACAAATATCGTAAAAATGATGAATTACATTTGCACGATACATTTCAACGATATATGAGATGTGGTTTTGAAATTGCGATACTCTGCAGAAATGAGTATGAATTATCTCAATGTATCATAATGTGAAAAATGTATCCGTATGATAATGTTTTTATCTCGCGATGCACATACGATGACAATGAATTGAGTTATAATGTACGCATCATAAATCATAAGTTTCTTTCACGACCGAAAATGATTTACAGTTTTTGTTCATGAAACACATATCATTCAGTTTCGTATTTTTGATGCTTAGTCACGTATCATTCATATCTAAATTGAGTTTTTTTTTTATAGAATCATTTATCATATTTCTTGATAATATCTCTTTCAGATTCCGGATAGATTCCGGTTGTGTTAACGAAAAAAAAAGAATTACCATGGTCTATCTACAATGTTTCGATTTTCGCTGCATGCATTTTCGCACTTTTGATGAAAATCGTCACTACATCCATCTGAATCGATTATTTATAGAATATATTATTATAGAATATATTTTTATATATTTAATTATCTAATAATTCGTATCATATTCGATTAGTTTTGATTTAAAGCTACTCTCTACGAGAGTTTTGCCCGCAAAACGACAGTTGTGCACCACCGTGAGATAGTCCGAATAGAAAGTAACTCGCGACATTCACGTTCGCCGTTTGATGACCGCGAAAGAGGAGAAGGGAGATCCCAGCAACGAACTTTCCATTCAAAGGACGTTAAACATGTGTCGCAGGTGGTGAAGCCGACCATCACAGAGAAGTTTGTCGTTGTGACGACGGAGGGTAACCCGGCTAGATTAGAGATCAGACTGTGCTCCGACCCGAAGCCGCGGCTCGTAGCCTGGGAATGGGGCAGCACCAGACTGCACGCCGGTTAGAGACTGCTTGCCTCAAACTATCACAAGAAGTATTCGATTTCGTCTTTACTTTGGCCTTTTGCTTCCTGCGTGCACGTACGTGTTCTGTTATAAGTTTCGCATCATGGGGTAAATAACAGAGGTAACGATAAGAGCGGATATTACAGCCAAAATTCTTTTTCTTAAGATATTTTTGTACGAACAGAAGAATGTATGTAATCTGGTTAATTGAACTTGCTACTTTCCTCTTATTTCGACATCGTCAGGGTCGTCTGACATAATAATTTTCTGTAATTTAAAATATTTTGTCAAGAATACATGGAAAGAACGATTTTGTTGAAGTATCTAAAAGTTTAGATAGATAGTTATATATCCAGATAAGTAGATATTTGAAATAATTTTGATGGACCATCAGAATAATTATGTATGGAAAACTCACACATGATAAGCAATGCTATAAAAATTTTAACAATCACTTTGAGCATTTTATATAATTAATTTTGATATTACAGTCAATTATTTTGAGATCTGAATCCAGCGAAATTTTTAAATACTTTGGCAAGATTCTTTCTTTTTCCGTGTATAAAAAGATTTTGAAAGTATTCAAATTAAAATTATCGCTAAAAACTTATTAGAATACATAGAAGATTGTCAAATCATATCGAATTTATTAATATATACTATACATAGAAAAGTTAGTTTTGCTGAAGTATTTAAAAATTTAACTACATAAAGGTTTGAAAATAATTTTATTAGACCATAAGAATAATTATGTAGAACACTCAAACTTGCTAGAATGTAAAAACTTTTTGCAACATTACTCATCATGTTTGAAATTCCTACGTAATTATTTTAATAGTACAATAAAATTATTTTTAGGTCTGTATTTAACTGAATTTTTATATACTTCAGCAAAATCATTCTTTTCATGTAAATAAAATTATTTATCGAAAAAATTATTTGATCTTTATTGAGACATAAAATAAAGAAGGTTAAAGATTATTATAAAGCGATAGGCGCGTTTGCGATATTAGTAAATGACAAAGAATGTCGTTTAGAAAAGAAAGAGAACTAGTTCAACTCATGGAAACCTTCTATTAGAATTTAAGGGAACATTGATCTCTCGGTCGCTTTGTATTACTCTTCGCAATACAATGGCGCTCTAGATCGCTCACCGCTCGAGTTACCCGCAAATGATAGCCGCATCTATGCTCTTTATCCTTGTAAACGTGTCAGTAAACACGAGAAACATGGGCAACGTGTGTACGAAAGAGATACCACTTTCGAAGCACATTGTTCGCGTACTAAAATTGTTACGGCAGATGTCGGGCTGACTCGACTTTACTTTATTCCACTTTGACTTTTGCCTCTACCACCAACTTTTTCCAACAAGTCCTCCTTCGTTACGCGTCTGCCTCTTCGTTATGCGTTTCCCGTGAAACGAAACGTCCGTCACCTCGTTCAACGAACCATTAATGTGCAAACTTTACTTTGGTTTTTGTTTCGAATACTACAAACGAGTAGCACAAACGGCCATAGTTATTAACGCTCCCTTCGCTTTTGCCTTCTTCTTCTTTTTTATTCGGTGAAACTGGAGCCCCGTTAAACTTCCCTTCACCTTCGTTGAATCAGCAGAAAGAGTACTCCAGCTTTACTGCTCGGGGGTTGCTCTTTCGTACACAATTTTTTCAATGCTTCCCGACATAATTGGCACTCCACGCCGGGTACCTTATTGACGATCCCACCGCTATTCGCAATTACCCCCTTGGTTAATTGATCACTTGCTCGTAACCCGAGCTATGAGATCGCTTCGGTCTTGAGACATCCGTCCAATTTCCGTGAGGCCCAAATCGATGCTCTCTCACGCCGGATACCGTGAATTTTTTACACTCATTATTGTCCGAGATACCGATTAATTAGTCCCTCTTAACACGCTTACACTTCCGAAAATTCTGTAAAATATTTTAGAACTTTTATACCTCATACATATTTATATATTTATTTTTATGTTTATTAATATTAATTTATTATTTCTCTTACTTCTTAATTAGTTAGCTTTTTAATAGTAGCTTCGTCGATCTAATTATTATATTTTGCACTTATTTTTTCTTACTTTCTAATATTATATAGAATGGGTATTATGTTCATTATTTTGCAAAATTTTCTTTCAGTTATTCGTAGAAATGGAAATAAAGAATAAATATATATTATTGAGATGTACATGGAATTGTTCTTATTGACAGGTGAGGTTCTGGAACCGCGCTATCGTGCGCTTGATCTGGAGCCGTTGCCTTCAGAAGATTGTTATATAGCGATCTTAGAGTTGACAAGTACAGTGAAAGAGGATCAAAGGCTGTATCATGTTATCGTGGAGAACGATCGTGGCAGTGACAGACGAGCACTCATGCTGAAAGTCGATGAGCCCGGCCAGGTAAACGTTGCAGACATAACGTTTTACGTACTATTCTTTCCAAGACTTCTAACGTCATCTAAAACGTAAGCTCTTTTCGTAGACAAACCAGGAAAAGTATTCACACGCCAAGAAAAATTCTTTGTCGAGTTCTTTGTCGATTCTAGTTGAAGTGAATGTACAATCTATGAAAGAAATTGTCAAATTTTATATTTTCTATATAATTGACGTATGCGAATAAACGCGAAAAAACTATCGGAATCTACATCGATGCTTGTGAGAAATGTTTTGGCGATGCACGTAGAATATCTTTCTTTGTCCTCAGATCCCGCTTGTTATCGGCGCGGTGGCCGGATTCACGGTGCTCTCGGTACTGATAATGGGATTCGTTTGTTTCCTACGTTCGGATAGATGCTGCGTAGCCAGAAACACAGTACCGGCACTGCAGCAAGTGCATTGGTAAGCACACGATATTACATTGCGCGATGATTTATAGGCGAGTAGACGGCGCCGTGGATCACGCGCGATGCTCCAATATTGTATATGTACATTTGACCAGAACCATGTTAGAATATCTACGAATTTGCATACGCAGGAATACGGGATTTCTGTTTCAGAAAGAAAGATACATTTTTTAAATCTTATACGTCTCGTATAATATTCTGAATAAATAAATAATAATGCTCGATTTATAAGAAAATAACAAACAGAAAGATAATTAAATATTATTTATTTGTCGAAACGTATAAATCTATTAAATAACATCCAAGATAAAGGAAGAATATTTATAAGATCACCTGCCTTGTTTTCAAAGCCTTTCTTTATATAAAGTGCCTGCGTCGTGGAAGCGATGCTCCAATATTGCGTACATTTGATTAAAACGTATAATAGTACTATTTATGAATTTGAATATGCAAGAATATGAGATTTTTGTTCCAGAAAGAAAAAAAATGTTTTTACATTTTTTAATCTTAAGAGATGTTAAGCATCGCGAGTAAATAAAGAATGAGCGATTTAAAAACAAAAAAATAAAAAGATAATTAATAGATATAACTTACTTATAGCGAATTCGATTAGATGCATTCAATGCGTACTGGTGTGTATTAAAGCCATTATACACAAATTGTTAATTGACATAAATATATTTATTATAAACATGGAAACCATTAAACGTTGGTTAAATCATGAAATACCTAATACACTTTATTGTGCTTAAGTTATATATTTTATAATTCAAAATATTTACATTTTAGCTTTACACTCAGATTAAATCAATATATTATACAACGGTTTTAATATGCACTAGTACGCATTAATGCGTCTAATCAAATTCGCTATTATTTATAAAAACATAATGAATAAATTTATTAATACTCAACTTAAGAAAAAGGAAGAATATTTATAAGATTGTTCTCAAAGTAAAGCCTTTCTTTTAAAGAATACTTCGTACCGTGACAAAATGAATAAATTATCTAATCTCCTTAGCTATTGCGTAGGTTCTTCCAATTTAATTTCTTTTCAAGCTGAATAGGCTAAGGAACTCTTTAAAGGGATTATCCGAAAGGCATTGCTTTGCGTATCGCATAGGGTATATACGTATACACAAAGCATCTATAATGAAACGAAACCGGGATGATATCCACCATTTCCATACAGTACAAAGGCTTCCAACGCTATGATAGAGGATCCACGCTTGGCAGTGGATACGATGGATCGTACGAGTCAGCAATTTGTCCCGGAGAAACGAGCCAATCACGTTTTGAAGCCCGTCCCGTCGCAGCAATACCAGCAGGAGTGTTATCAGCACGACCCGCAACACCAACAGCAACATTATCAGAGGCATCATCATCATGGGCAGCCTCATGGACAATATACGTTGCAGGTCAGTTAAGTTGGAAATAAAATAGAAAAAAAGAATACAAATTATATATTCTCGCACAGCTGCATAGCTAAAACCTGGCGTGCTATTTTTTTCTTTCTTTTCTCTTCTCGTTTTTTTTCTTTTTTCTTCCTCTCGCTTTTCATTTATTATTTGTCACGTACCGTTGTTTCTAAAGGTGTCTCTATATAATTTGCAAATCACAAAACGTAATTTGCAAACACAAACGCAGAATGAAAATTTGCATTTGTTTTTTCATTGCGTGTAGTTGGTTTTCATCTGCGTGTAACTTGCGTGCGATAATCATCATTCTGCATCAATATTTGCGAACTACATTTTTGTGATTTGCGAATTAAGTAGAGGCACCTTTAATCGCGTAAAGTTTATATCATTTTTAACGTATAATTAATATATAACACAACGTATAATTCCTTTAAACATGTTCGAAGTTAGTGATTAGGTGTTGCAGTCATAGATTGTTTTTCACGATAAATTTCTCATTACTGTGTTAACTTTTTAATAATATGTAAATATATTACATTATAATGCAGTATAAATTATATTGTATTATAATGTTTTGTACTACAAAATACTATTTTGTTGTATGATTACATTAAAAAGTGCAGTTATAATGAAAGTAAGAATCTTGAATTTTGAATATTATGCGTGTAAATTTCATTGAACGTAGGCTAAAATTTTTACTGAAAGATAAAGTTTCTTCTTATTGAAAGATGATTTTTGTATCACAGCTATATTGATTTTGTGGATCTCTTATTAAATTCAAGTAATAAAAAAGCTTTGCGTAATAAAAAAAAATGCAGACTTTTAAGTGTTTCTCTGACATTAATATTTATATATTCCTCTTTATGCAAAATTCTACTGTTTTTATTAACGTAGAGCATATTAACACCTATCACAGTTTGTATTCTCCTATTCAATTTTACTGCATCACCGATCAGCACATCATAAAGTATCAGCTACTCTGCTTTAAACAAGATTCTTTTTCAATCGCTTGCTTATTTTATTGCACTCGTTTGAGAGTAGTTACCTGATCGAAGCACACGCGTTTAAATTTAATCGATGCATTTGCGAAGGCAAAACTGCAAGTGCATGCAATTTGACCTGATTGCGAAATGAACCGTCTAGATTAGCGTAGCGATTTAACTCGTATTAATGAATCGATATTAATGCTTATCCTTAATCTATCGAACTGTATTTCGGTGATTATCGCATTTATTGATTATTTTTTTTAATCATTCGCTTTCGGGGGCTCGTCAAGTAAAAAACATACAAAAGAAGAAAAATATTAGAGATTACAACTTTTTTTTTTTAATGTTGACGCGCCCCGCACGTCCGTATATATCCATTAATTGAATCAATGAGCGAGCAATCTTGGCGCAGGAAAAATTTCTTCTACAAGACGAGGAACGGGACACACTAAATCGGATTAAAAAAGGCAAGGAACGAGGAGCGCAAACTTTCCACCTTTTCTCCCGGAAAGATCTCGAGGGTTTTATATATAAATAAAATATTGTATTTGTGTTCCCGATACACACACACACACACACACACACACACACACACACACACACTTACATACACACAAACACACACACACGACCAACGTGGAAATGTATAAATATAGATACACATTACGTTTTAATGTACCCAACACACTCTACTGGGTCGTCCAAAAATTTGTTAATTCCTTACACCAATGAAAGTAATTAACGCGTACGTCATCCTCGCTCGCGTACTTTTTTACGCGTTAAAGTTTATTATGATGTTACGATCGTTATATAATATTGTATAACTATACGATTATACGGGAGACGACACCATCCATTAGCGACTCGCGCAAGAAGTTTTTAGACGATCCAATGTTAAATTACAATACTTATGCGGCGACACGACGCGCTGCTCGCGCAAGTATCGAACGTATCATGTTCTCCGATCGCGATAGTCGCTTGAGTGATTTATACGCTCGGTAGGGTGCATTACGCATGCATTTGGTTGCATCTAGTTCCCGGGTGTCCCTCCACCAATTACCGCTGTGTCCTTGTTTGTAATTTAATTTAGATAGATGTGTACATAAGTAGAGCGTGTCGACGATAACGCCGCCTCTACTGGCCGGTTGTACGCGCACGATTCCGTCTGAGTCGCGTCTCATCCTTGTAAAAAAGTAACCGGATTAAGGTGAATTGAGTGGAATTCATTACGGATGAAATTGAAACGCTTAATCGTAAACTGAATTCCTATCAATTCTCTTGCCGAGAGAGTCTCGACTCGTTTCTCGCGGGGATAGCGCGCTCACCTCGTTCTGTTCTGATTTCACTTGCATCCAGAAAGGAGTATATTCTCTGCAGCCGCGCGTCCTGCGGGATTCAAGAACGTAAGACTGAACTCGACCGAGATCGCCGAATTTACGCTCGCAGCTCTTAATGACGAACGACCGATCGCGCACCGAGATCATCCAATCGTTTCGGAAACTTATAAGAGAATAGCTGTAATTTAATCATTGTTGCGCGAAACTCGTTACAGCCATACATTATCCCATCCTGTCACTAAAAATTGTAGGCGCGATTAGCAAATATCAATATTACAGACGTAATTCTTTCTTTTTCCCCTTTTTTTCATCCAACTGTTGACGTCGTATGCTCGAAACGACGATAAGCATTGTGAATGAAATAATTAATTGTTACGCGAAACTCGTTACTGCTATAAATTATTCCACCCTGCCACTAAAAATTGTAGGTTGCGCGATTAGCAAATATCAATACTGCAGATATAATACTTTCTTTTTTTTTCCTTCTTTTATCCGATCGTTGACATCGTATGCTTGAAACGCTGATAAGCATTGTAAACGAACCATCGAAGACCATATTTGAAGAGTGTTTGTATCATAGATACTATTAGTAATCGAAACTATGCTCATTACGATTTAATAACGATATGTTGCTATTCTATTGAACACTAAGTACATATGTACATACGCATATACATACGTATACCTGTTTAGATCACGATCTAACATACGAATCGACGTCCAATTAATGAAAGTTTTGACGTTAACAGCGATGTGTAATCGCCCACGTACGTTTGCGATAATTACTACGATGCGCTTCTACGTCGCTGTTGCAAAGGGTAGTTTGAACAAAGCCGACAACCGACAGTGATTCGATTCACAGTTGTATAGTAGCCATATACGAATAATTTATCGGTTCAATAGAGACTCTCAGAAAAATGGGAATCAAGCTGTACAGATCGTTTCAGGACGTGTCGACCAACGAGTGAGCATGTCGGAATTGCATTTTGTATGTACCCTGCACCTCACGAGATTATGTACAGAGAAACTTTCCCATCGATTACTTTCATCTAACTCAAGTACGACGCACCATATTGTTTACCGTTACCTCGATCATCCTATTAAGATTAGCTAATATTATATCTCCTGTTATCATCGACATTAATTAAGTCTGAAGGCGAACACCATCGACTTTGTAATTGGATTAACAATATGGGACTTCACTGTATGGCGTACGAGATAGTTTCAAGGAGTTGTGCCGAGTTCCCTTTCGTGTATAAAGTTGTCATCATTAAAAAGTGATCATACATATTGGTACCATTTATCATCACACCCCATACATATCCCAATCCTGACTACAATGATTACAATCGAAATTTTTTTCAATTTTTTAATATTATTTTCACTTTATTTTTAATTTAATGAAAAAAATATAAATCATTATGTGGTATGCATATTATATTCGTCTATTCGTTCATTTATTTCATCGCAACAATCATTTGTCATCACATATCTCTTATAACGTACATTTATAAGATTATCAGTTATACTTATATACAGTCTACGTTTCTTTTTACGTTATTATGCATATACATACACACGTATCTTACTTCCTTAGTCTCGGTTTTGCCTGCCATGTTGAATCTGCTACCTAACTGTAGCTACCTGGATTATTTGGCACCTATGCTGTCATGGGTCTAGAACAACCCTGCAACTTTACGTCCTCGCGTGCCACGTTTCGGACGCGCCTAGAATTGCACAGATTGCACCTATGCTAGTTTCTATCCCCGACTGCCAAGTAATAACCCGTAGAACATTATGATAGCAATTCGTGCCCCCGTTTCGTGCACTATACGCGTATGCATTCGTATTAAGTCCGCATTAGTCTTCTGCAGCTCCGTACGTCGAACTACATTCGAAATAATTCATATATGAATATTTCGTTACTTTTTTAAGAGGATTTATGTAAAACTAATTCGCGTTAATCTACGCGTTACGCGAACGCTACGCATTTTTTGCGTTCTATTTCAATAAACGATCGAGAGAATTTTATTTTCATGCTATTCAAAAATTCGTATTTTTTTTTAAATTAAAATTATACGTGCGCATTATTTATATTATAATTATTATATGTATATGAGTATAATTTATGAAATATTATTACACACAAAACTTTCCGTAGATATAATCTTTACTTTTTAAAGAGAGACATGAATTTAACGACGATTACAAAATAAATTCCTAGTTTCTCTATGAAAGACAAGTAGCTGAGATCAGTAATAAATATTCAAGATTTGAGTTGTTCGATGAGCAGCAGCAGGCTAATTCGGATGGAAATTTGCGAGCTACCGAGGGTTAAGATCCTAAGATGGAAATTGTGCAGGGGGAGCAGCTGTTTCTCAAACCCGATCGTTTAGCGACATTGAAGCCCCATTACAAGAGCGAGAAGCCACCGCAATACACGACGTTCAAGCCGAACAACTGAAGATTTTCCTATGTTTATTTTATATTGATATACACGAGAAAAATATATGTACGAGGATAAAAGCGGACGAGGGGAACGACGCAAAGTGGCACGAAATCAAACGCAAAACTGTAGTTCTACTTCTATCAGCCTCATTTATTACGAATATGAGATATATTTAGGAGAACTGCGTATACATATATGCAACATGTAATAATTGCGAATTTATTTAATGCGAATCCGTGGTGGCGTTCGATAGAAAGACGTAACGAGTCTCTCGCTAAAATACACTGCCGATAATTTCGGAAAGATGATCTCCAGAACCAATCAAAACGACAACACTATGCATATTTATAACGCTTACGATAACATTGTTAATAAAACGATGGTTTTTATCAGTCACTATTTTTATTGACACCTTTAGAGTAAGCAGTACGAATAGTAAATTACGAAACGTTAATACTCTTATGATGCGACAAAATTCAAGTTGTCAGTAATATATATTGAACATTATTGTCATAAATAAATTTATAATATAATACCTAAAACCTTCCGAATCCAATTCTAGGAAATTAAGATCTTTTCTACGTGATTACAAATACAGATTTATGATTATCATGTTATCAACTTGAGAATTTGTTATAACAGAAGTATATTCCAATGTAAGTATACCCTGTTTTCTCTTCAAATTCTGCATTTTATAATAGTTTTTCTCATTTATTTGTATTATTTTAGAATTTAGAACTATTGGGTCATCTAAAAAATATCCGCGGTTTTTTGTCACTAGATGTGTGTTGATGGTCATATATCTAATGACAAAGTATCGCGGATACTTTTTAGATGACCCAATATAATATCGTTGCATATTAAAATGCTATATTTTAAAGATCGAAATTTACGTCATGTTATAAAGCGATATGATTCTTTTACAATTGCATTTTGCGAAACTCTTTAGTGTATTGAAAATTTTGTATGATCTTCATGAGCGTAGTCAGGATTTTGTTTAGGGGGGGAGGGGGGGGGCAAATTAAAATTGAGACTTTTGAATCCAGAAGAAGAAAGGTAGATGAAGATTATTAGACTTTTGTTTCATATTATTATTTTTAATTAATTACTAGTAGATAAAGTACAAAGTTATACACATTTACTTTACTAATTTACTTTATTTTTCTTTTAAAATTGATTCTTTGAATTGAAAAGACTTAAATTTACAATATTAGCTATCTTCGATTCTCAAAAAATCTTTCTATAACTTTCACCTTCAATTCTTTCTTTCTTTCCAAAATTAATTTCTTATGAACACTCATTAAACATAGTTCGTTTAAGCGGTTTTAATTATTTTTATTCTTTAAGATTTAGGGAGGCCACGGTTTCCCTGCCTCCCTTGGCTGATGATAACTCAAACGCGACAAAGAATTATAGAAATTGCAGTTCTCATTACAGATATATTATAGTGTAACATCTCTTATCATTTTATCTTTATCTTAAATTTCATTGACACTGCATAAAATGAAAGGATGAAACATTTTACTATTCATTCTTACTTATTTTGTTTATCATCTCGCTGAATTACGATTCGGATTCAATCACATGCCTTAGGACCTATATTGATCAATCAACGATGGAAGAAGATTGAAATCCGATTGCCAGAGCTCGTCGACCAAGATTGCGGATTTCGCGAGGCGGTGAAAAAGATGCAGGATGAAACTTTCCGATTTTGTATTATCGACGTTAATCCTGAACAAAGATTTATCCCGTTGGAAATATAGATATAAATAAAAATTGAAAAAAATATCAGTAAATATGATAATAAAAATTTATTTGTCTGTTTGCTACTTAAAAATTTACTTATTTACATTGTCCAAAACTCTATATATATATATATATATATATATATATATATAATGAAATTGTTCTTTGCCGCCTCATTAGAATGTATTAAAACATGTCTAGTTTTCGTTATACTTTAAATATATAATTTATTTTTTTATAGATACAAGTGTAAAATATTTTAATTCATAAAGAATAGTAATAATTCTTATTATTTACATAATTTCCTTCACAGTAATAAAAATTTTCAGTAATTACATTTTGTATTTGTGAAGTTCTTGTTAAAATTTTGTATCGAATTTTTAGTATATTCGAGTTAATTTAACATAATGAGAATAACACAATTTATGAATAAGTCAATATGAAAATAAAATTCTACGATAAATGAACAAAATGTGTTGATTAATACATTATAAATATTAAATTTATTGAAACATATTAATTTAACATATTATAAATATTAATTTTGAAGAAATATGGCTTACAATTTGTGTCAGTGTTTTTCGTGTTAATTTTTTAACATTTATTACCTTCTAACATATTCATCTTGTGTTAAATTAACACAAAAATTTGAATCGACGTTTGGGACATGTAAAGCATGTTTAACATAAATTTTCTAATTGTGTTATAATTATATTTATAAATTAGATATCCTTATATATATGCATATGATTTTGTTTCACCATCAAACAGCTTTATCTCACTTCTTTGTAAATCTATTAGTAACATTAACATTGACACTCGGCGAACGACAAGAATAAAATGATACATCATACGCATTATGCGTGAAACGGAACGCAACCTATATCTCTCGTCGCTCCATCGTAAAAAAAACGTAAAAAAACTTCAATGGAATCTATTTTATTTCATCATCATATTCGTGCGTAGAGATACGAGTTTGAATGAGCCTCGAAACTTGCGCAGAATTCGAGACTCGCATTCGCCATTGCCGTATCGATCGACTGCAGAGTTAGGATGGTATTCATAGTCGAGTCTTATATTTAGATATAAGATAGATGAACCAATCAGAGACTGATATTCATAGTCGGTTCTTATATTTAAGATCGTCTTAAGTACAATCTATTTCATGAACCAATTAGAGGACTGTATTATAACATCTTAATTAAGACATTACTTAAGACTTAAAATAAGAACGAATTATGAATATCGACAAAAGTCTGATTGCTGAAGCTATTTTGTAATAAAATAGCATCTACTACATCGCGAAATTTTGTATTTTATTGGGCGAAAGATACAGTTTTGTGGTAAGTACAATTATACATATATATTGTATTACGTTTTGTAATCATACTTCTGTTCAATATTTACAACTTAACATATATTAAAATTCTGACCTTAAAAAATAATTGGTAATAATAAGTAAAATTATAAATAATTAAAATAATAATATATATGCATAAATAAACGAAAGTTAAAAATAATACACGTAATAATAAGACAATGACTTATGCATTCTATTAAATAATTTTTCTATGTAATCTAATATTGTTATTTTAATTTATATTAATATATTATTGAAATATTAGTAAAATTATTATGAATAATATTTATTACTTATTTATAATTATTTTTATAAGAGGATTAAAAATCTACATTAAACACAAAAAAATTATTTTGTTATTTATTATAATGTATTATAATATATGTATATATATTTCTGCTATTTGAATTTGCCTGACTTTAGTAGTACTTTTAATTGGTTCCGCCATTTTATAAAAAGCGTGAGATGACATGAATACCTGCCATAATTTCTAGGGACTCCAGATAGCGTGCCGCGAGTGTCACCATCTTGTGTTCCATGATGAAATCAAATACCTCGTGTTAGCGTGCCCGCGAACGGCACTTGCCACATTTTCGAGGTTAGCGTTCGCCCACGAGCCTAATCTGTACGAACACCAAGAGCGTTCGCACGGTATTTCGATCTAAGAACGCCGATGTAAAAGCTTGCAACAATTTCACGGTCATGGCGGTGCGCGTACAATTCGAGAACAACAAT